TTACTAATTTGGTAAGAACAGTTGATCATGAGTGTCAGCTCTTTTTTTTCTAAAGAATTTGTTCAGTGTTTCTATTCACCCACATTCTGATTAAGGGAACAATAATGTCTTGATGAAGGGATTGTATACTTAGATAATATGAAAAAATAGGCAAGCTTTTTAATGAGACTGATTCTGGAGTTACAGAAGAAATTAGATTAAGAGTGAAGCAAAGTTGTGTAGTTAAATAGTTGTGATTAGAATAATTCTTAAGGTTATTTTTTTCCTATTTTTCTCTTTTTTAATTTTTTTTGTCTTAAATATTTTTATTTAGTTTTTTATTTTTATTATGTTCCATAAGCAACATTCTCAGGAAACATTAGAACCCTATTTATCATTCAGATAAAAGAAAAGTTAATTTTAAAACAGTTTTCTTTAAAAAAAAAAAAAAAGAGGTCAAGTATATTGTTGATACTAGCCCCAAGAAATTTCTCCTACAGGCATGGTCTGAAAGAATTTCTGTTGATTTGGGTTATCTTGACATTTTAATTTTTTTTTTTTTTTAAATTATTGTCTACAGTGTTGTTCAGACCAAGCTAAAAAAAGTCAAGAGTTGTCTACATGTTGGCTACTGTGGTGAGGCTTTCTTGTAAGCCAGAGTTTTTGCAGACAGTCTGACATCAGAGTTAGTGGGTGGCATAATGTAACATAGACTGTGTATTGAATTCACACACTACCCATGTGATGTGGTTTGCAGTTGTGTGGCAGCTGCTTTTTGGCACTTTTTAGAAGAATTTTGTAGTACATATTAGTTTTCTTGTTATTTTCTTCTTTAGGAAAAAGAAAAAAAACCACAACAAAAAAACCCCTGAAATCCAACTTCTGATATTTAGCAATTTCAAAGTGCTGTAAGAATCCAGACTACTATTAGTGAAAATAACACTAATGAATAGAAGATTAAACACTTTCCTAAACAGTCACCTCAGGGAGTTTAATCATGTCACATATTTCTTCAGCATGTCCTGGAGGATGGAACAGTAGCTTGGTCTGTGCTTACTGACATTGCAATGCCATAAAAATGTGTGAAGCATTTGCGGGGAATAAAGATTGTATTTCTAACTACAAAATTATCCTGGTAAAATCTCTAAGGAAGATACAGCTTTCATGAAAAAGCTCTTTGGACAATGCAGTCTGTGTTCTGGAAAATGCTACTATTTTGTGTGACAAAGAACTCTTCTCTTATTGTAAGCAATAACCCTATAAGATACTTTGTCAATGAAACTGCACTCAGCATTTGTCTATATCAAAGAGTTTGCTGTTCGTTTGTGGCAAATGAGCCTGTGTTTGTCCACTTCTGTTGCAAATACTATCCCAAAGCTATCAGTTGATCCTTTCTTTAAAAAATAAACATCATTTGTACTTATTTCTGTGCACAGCATGCTGCCATGCATGCTACTGGAGTGCACTAATCCACTTGGAAAGGGTTAAGTTGTGTTGCTGTGCTTGCACAGCCCACTTAACGCAGGTGAGTTGTCTTTTCATTTCTAGGGACAGATGCATTTCACCTGTGTGTTATGGCACCCTGCTGTAGTTACACCTGAGCAGCCAAGACAGATGTATCCGATACAAGGAAATATGTTGTCAAAGAGAAGTTGAAGTGTATGCAGATAAAAGTGAATATAGTTACATAGGAAACCAAATAAATTGTTTTATGTTCTTGGTTGTTCATTAGGTCTGCTTATTATACTATTTAATGACTTATTTGTCAGAAGACAGTTGTATGCAAAACACAGGGAGTGCAAGAAATATTCTGGATGAATTTTAGATTTTGGTTGTTTTGATTTACAGATAGCTTGACTATTGTGTTAATCATGAGTATTCTAAGGATTTGTATATGCTCAATCAGTGCAGCAAATTTAGTTTTAAGTTTTTGGTAAAATGTACATATGTACTTTTGATGTTTTGTGAAGAATAGGTTAGTGTGTAAGCGTCAAAGCCAGAAGCAGCAAAAGTCTGAAGTATGTGCTAAAAATCTATGGAAGAAATCTTTGGTATATTGTAGTCCATTTCTCCTTTTACTTGCTGGAGACAATGAAGCCAAAGTTCATGTAGTAAACATAAAACTAGGAGGGAAAAAAAGTATGACATAGTGAGCTTAGCATTAGTAAATATTGCTGTGTTAATTGAAATGCTGTAGATGGACAACAGAAATCTGACAACTGCAACTTTAACTCTCTAAAGTGATTGTTAAATTAGGTAAACGATTTCTCTGGTACTAAGGTAGATAACAGATATGTAGCTATACCATGGAATTTTTCTACCCTTTCTGAGTAGTTTCATGCCAGCTCATTATAACAAAAAGAGACAGTTGTAAATATTTGACTCAAATACTGATTAAATTCTCAAATTTAAGCATAATTTCAGTGTAAAACAGTCAGTGTTGTTATATAGAATTAACTTTAACCTCTCTTTTCATGACATATACCGTCACGTTCATTAATGCTTAACCTTTCTCTTATCATGGACAAATTTAAGTCTCTTTAACAAGAGGAAGAGGACTAGAGGAAGATGGAGAACATTGTTGCTTATTTAGTGATATAAAAGAAATTTGAGGCCAACAATGTTTGGAAACAAACTAACCAGCCAACAAATGCTAATGCCCCCCTCTCCAGCTCTTTGCCTGATTGACTAGGCCTAATGACTGCCAGATCTCTCTTACAGTATTAAGTACCTCGAATATATATATATATATATCTATAAAGTGTTTTCTTTTTTCTATTTAAGGAAGATATATTTATATTGCTTACTGATTTCTAAGCTTTAAGATTTACTAATATATGTGCTTGTGCATGGTGCACTGAGAAACAGGTGATTTTCTTTGTTACGTTGTTACGAAAACATCCCTGGTTAACAGGTTGCAGAGGCTGTAGACTCACCCAGAGCCCTTGCAGATTTAGCAATGGTAGTTTTACAAGTTACAGTCTTCTTGCTGGGTGCTGGTCTGTATATATGCTTAGTGTTTTACATTGTGTATTGCATTTACATGGCAAGGTTGGGAGCTGCGAATGACTGCAGGGATGGCCTCGGTGAGAAAAGACCAGGGGCTGTCTGTGCCCCATGCTGGACACAGCTAGTTCCAGCCAGCTCTAAAATTGACCTACTACTGGCCAAAGCTGAGCCACCCAGTGTAGCAGGTGACGCCTCTGTGATAATGTGTATAAGAAAGGGTAAAAAATTCTACCAAACAGTTGTGAGAGAAACAACCCTGCTGATACCAAGGTCAGTGAAGAAGGAGGGGAGGAGGTGTTCCACGCACTGGAGCAGATATTCCCTTGCAGCCTGTGGAGAAGACTATGGTGAAGCAAGTTGTCCTGCTGCAGTCCATGGAGAAGACAACGGTGAAGAAGGTATTTCTCTGCAGCCCATGGAGGACCATGCTGGAGCAGATAAATATACCCTGCATCCCATGAAGAGCAAGATTCTGGCAGGAACTGCGACCAGTGGATGACCCATACTGGAGCAGTTTTTGCTGAAGTACTCTGCGCTGCGGAGAGGACCCATGTTGGAGCAGGGGAAAAGTGTGAAGAGGAAGGAGTGGCAGAGGTGAAGTGTTATGAGCCTTGTGAAGCATGTTTTTGGTACCTTTAAGTATCTATATGGCAATACTGTAATGAGCTTCCCCTCTGCATTCTTTTAACTCTATGGTAAAGCTATTGCGGTTTGAATGTATGGGTTTATTAAAAAAAGCTGACATAAGCTTTGAAATAAACTATAATGTGAACAAGTCCAGGTGCTTAACTTATCCTGCAAATTCTTGACAGAAACAAGGTGAGGGTTTTTTCTGTTTTCTGTAAGTTATATCTCTTACTGAGCATGTGTTATCCCAATTAAGAAATGCAGAATCTATTTGTATTTCAAAGGATGAAATAGAAAGGTAGTTTTTTGCAATTCTGTGGTCAGTAGTTAGCAAGTGGAAATTAACTGTGGCTTTTATCTAGATGCTGCTTATTTGTTTTCTCAGTTCACATACATGCTGCTTACACAAACATAAAGCTGTGTTTTGAATTAATGCTGGTTGCTATTTCCCTCTTCTTGTAAACTGCCAATTTTGCAGAGATAATTTAATTCAAATCACTTGGATTCTGGTAGTCCTCGAATGTTTTTCATAGTTCCCCATCTTTGAAAGCCATTGAATAATTGCTTGTTTGTGAAAAAGATAGTGGCAGAGTTCCTCAAAGAGGAGAGTTCTTTGACATGTTCTCTTGATGAGTTGCTGCAGCGCATGCCAGAAAATGCAGTACAAGTGAATGAAAACATATACAGAATGATTACTTGATCCTCAGGCTAAATTAACTTCCTCCAAATTACCTGTATTAAATCTGCATTGAACATGTATACCAGATAACTAAATTAATAAAAAAATTTCCCACTTGGAAGTGTGATTACTTAAGTCTAATCTTGAAATGGATTTATATTTTTTTAAATATTGGAAATTTCCAAATTGTTGAAATAAGTTGATTGAGAAGTCCTTCCTGTCTTTATAGTTCACTTTTTGTGTGGATCTTTCTTACATGCAACTTGAACTTACTGTGCTGATCCCATCTGTTTTCTTTCTATCTCATCATTGAACTAAAATTCCCTGCTTCTAGAAGACTTAAAACAACACTTTTCTCTAATGTTAAATAACTTAATTTTCAAGATTTGGAAGAAAATTAATGCAAAGTAGTGGCATTGTGTAGAAATAGTGTTTTATTTTTAGTGGTATGCCTACTTTCTGGTTCTTCTATTTGAAGTGGATTTAAAAAAAAAAAAATCACAAAAAACTGCACAAAAAAACAAGCCAAAAAACCAGGGAAAGTGCATCTTCGGTGTCTTATAGATAGGTTTGACTTATCTTTAAGTGACAGCCACATAATGTTTGACAGTTGGGAGTTGTGAATTAGTTCCCGCCTATCAATTTAATGTGGTTTTACATTGCCAAATACACTAGATATCTAAATTTATATTTTTGTTTTAATTTACAGGTGTTATAATTTCAAGGAATGCTGTGAGCTATTTGAAGACCATCATTCACAGAAACTTTTATCTTGTGATAAGTTTTTAAAACTACAATGGCTTTGAAAAAAACATCTAAGCTACTGAAGAAATTATTTTTTCACTGGAAACTGTGGAAGTTTAGCATTATTGTGTTAGTCTTTCTGGTATTTTTATTTTTATTACAAAGAGAAGTGGGCATTCAAGATTTTAAAGATGAAGCAGGAATTGAGCCAGTGGTTGGAAAGAAAAGTCATGTATTAGGACTTGTGTTAAATGCTATGAACAATATCAAAGCTGCAAAGCCAAAAATGCAGATAAAAGCACCTGTTAGGCAAACTAAGATTCCTGGAGAGAGACACTGTTTGCCAGGATACTATACTGCAGTGGAACTAAAACCCTTTCTAGATCGACCCCTTCAAGATCCTAATGCTCCTGGAGCTTCTGGTAAAGCATTTAAAACTATCAACTTAAATTCAGAAGAACAGAAAGAAAAACAGCGTGGAGAAGAAAAACACTGTTTCAATGCATTTGCAAGTGATAGGATTTCTTTACACCGAGATCTTGGACCAGACACTCGACCTCCTGAGTATGTTGAAATGTGTATGTCCTGATAGTTGAAAACCTTGTCAGAAATGCAGACAGCAAGGTGATTTGAGTTCAGGATTAGGCGATAGTTTAGGAAAGTCTCCTAGCTATACATAATGATTGATGGTACATAATGATTCACAGTGCCAAAGCCAAGAATATTTAGAAAGGCTCGCTTCTTTCATGGTTTTGAATTCAAAGTAACCATATTTAAATAAGGTTTTCTGCTTTTGCCTTTAAGCTACAATTTCTGAGTCACTTTCTGGAAGCCTACTAAGTTTTACCTAGGGAAAAAAAACCTAAAAAGGTGGTTTAAACTTTTTTCCAATTTAAACACATCCCCCCCATTTTAAGTATTCAGTGTTAATAAAGCCACCAGCCTAATTTAATAAATTAGGAATTGTAAATTGTTGAACAAGGCAATGGAACATTTATGGAAACATAATGGAAATTTTATTAATGAAGACTGTAGGACTGAGTAGAGTGGGTTTTGGTTGTGAGCAGTCTCTTTCAGTGTCAGATCATATGTTCTCAGCTACGTGTCAGAAGTGCCTAACCTTACTGAACTGCTGCTGGTAGTATGAATATCATGTTGCACGTGCTGCAGCTCACAATAACCTTTGCTAGAGCATAACTGGTGAGTTCTTGCCTGTGTATTTTGTGAGACGATGGCTGTGATAATTACCTTGAGGAAACTTCCAGTGTCTAAATTTGACAAGCAATAATCAATAAATGTGCAGCTTGTGAATACACAAGTGTCATCAATCTTGAAAAACTGTGGGTTTAAAATTGTTTCACTTGAATGACATATGCTGCCCTAAGGATTATATGTTATTTCTATAAAATTTTGAAGTTTTGAATTAGATCTGTTCTATTTCTCCTTGCAAATTCTGCTTCTTCTAATAAATATTATTCTTTGTATTTTTGTATTTCAACAGTAATGCTGGTTTAAAGTCTGATTTTGCAGCTCAGTATCTGCTGTTTCAATAGAATAACTTTTTTTTTTCCTGAAGAAGACCTGGGTGCTAATGAAATGTACTCAAATGTTTGTGAGGCAGAAGCAGAACTGAGTCAGTTGATGAAGTGGAATTCTTATTCATTGTATCTTTAAAAAGATACTTTGTACAGCTTCTCCAGTTGGAGCATCTGCCTTTGTGCTCCAAAACTGGGATAGAAAGTGGAGAAGCTGAAATATTTAATATCCATACTTACAAAGCTTTGTACTAGAAAGAGTAGGGTTTCTTTTAAGAGTTTGAGTCAAACCTTTTTGTCCATTTTGTAACATTTGATGCTTTCAAATCTGTAGATGTATTGAACAAAAGTTTAAGCGTTGCCCACCATTGCCAACCACAAGCATTGTAATAGTTTTTCATAATGAAGCGTGGTCCACTCTGCTCAGAACTGTTCACAGTGTGATGTATACGTCTCCTGCCATACTGCTAAAGGAGATTATTTTGGTGGATGATGCCAGTGTAGATGGTAAGAGGTCTTCCTGTTTTCTCTTGATTTTATTTTTTTATGTATTTATTTCTGTTAGGATTGCAGATAAATTGGTTAAAAGAGGATATCTCTCTACCACTATTAACATGTATAATGGTATTCTGAGTGGTTTTGTTCCTTTCTCTTTTTATAAAACATAAAATAGTTCTCCCCCATCTTTTTTTTTTATAAGGTAGTCAAATATGAAATTCTTGTCCTATAAAAGTTTTTTAAACCCCATTTCAGATCATTCTAATTCTGTTGCAGCTTAAACTGCATAACTGGTTGCATGACAAGCAGCTCTGTAATTTGTACAAACCAATTATAATTTATAGAACAAAGTATCCAAGGATAAATTGGCCAATGCTTGTAGCAATTTGCATTTTATCATTATGATTTTCTTTATGCAAATTAATTTCATTAATATGAAGGAAATATCTTCCTAGAAATTAAAATTATTAATGGAAAAATTATCTTTGATACTCAAGCTGACTGCCAAAAATAATGGAATGAATACTGAGTGTGATCACAAATGCAATTTCAAAAAACATTATATGCTAACTTAAGATCAACATATCTATACATACATGCTTATATTAATGTATTTACAATTTTTGCAAGTCTGTATTTAGTATGCTGACATACTTGGATGTGAAGTATGTTCAGTAGTGCAGTTTAATACTAAGGATGGGCAGAGGAAGGAAGGCATGGGATCTTTAATGGGGGATGTGGGCTTGTTTCTCAAATTTTGCACATTTAAAGAGTTTTTTATATAGCTTCTGTTGCTGTTGTAAATATCGTAGCCTTTGAAAACTGTGTGTAGAATGTGCCATCATTAAGGAACAAATTTGCATGTTCTGCAGATAAATTGAGTAAGTAGGTACATGATCTGTTTGCTCTGAAAATGGATTTTGAATTGATATGCAAGCTGTTAATACTGCAGAAGAGATGTACTAGCGTGTGTCCTTTCTCTTTTAGAATATTTTTAGTGTTCCATCCTCTATTCTCTGCCAGTCACCTCTTCCTACACCCCCACTCTCAACAAAACTCAGCCCCTAAAAATAAGGTTCAACAGTCAGGAATTGTTTATGGTTTTGATGTTGACGTCATTCCTGAGATTAGTGTGAATCGTTTATCCTGTTAGTTTAGTAATGTAAAATTTTTGGCAGTGGCATGTTTATACACTGAATATCCTGAAACTGATCTCTCTTTCTAGAATACTTGCATGATAAACTAGATGAATATGTGAAACAATTTCAAATAGTTAAAGTAGTCCGTCAAAAGGAAAGAAAAGGTCTAATCACTGCACGGTTGTTGGGAGCATCAGTAGCAACAGGAGAGACCCTTACCTTTCTGGATGCTCATTGTAAGTGTAACCTGTAACTATGCCGGGTCTGGTTTATAACGTTGTTGTCTTTGATTTAATGTTGCAGATTTTTTATGAATTACAAACATTAGCAAAGTATCATCTTTCCTATTGCTATTTTATAATACTGAAAGTATAATTAGCAATGCTATTTAAAAGTAGTGCGTACTGACTTGCTGTGGGCATGTTAAAATATTCCCCGTGTTTTAATTTATAGCCAAGTAATTCAATGCTTGTTCCCATTTTCTCCATAGGTGAATGTTTTTATGGCTGGTTAGAGCCATTACTGGCAAGAATAGCCGAGAACCCTGTCGCTGTTGTAAGCCCTGATATTGCTTCTATAGATCTCAATACTTTTGAATTTAGTAAACCATCTCCTTATGGGCATAACCACAACAGAGGAAATTTTGATTGGAGTTTGTCATTTGGATGGGAGTCTCTTCCGAAACATGAAAATAAAAGAAGAAAAGATGAAACCTATCCAATTAGGTAAACGTAATTTGAATAATACTTTTAAACCTTCATTTTTCATGGTTTTTTGTTATCAACAGCAGTTTGTAAATGAACTAGTTCTTCAGATGAGTATGATCAGAAGTCTTAGCATCTTAGATGGTTTTTGTAATACTTTCTTTAAGAACCACATTGTAAATTTTAAAGCTTTCATAAAAATATAGCCTTCTTAAGACAGTAATTGCTCTGCATTACCTTTTTTCTACATACACTAGTAACATAATAAGCAATTTCTATATATATTTTTTCATCAGGGTGGAGGGGGTAGGGGAGGATTATAAACAGTTCTTTTCAGAGACAGTACCACAGATTCTGGCTCCTCATTCCTCATCCTTGAAAGGATGAAAACAAAGGTTCAGAGCACCAAAATACTAGACTTTTATATTCGGTGCATTTGATGATAATTGTACGTGTTTTGGCCTCAGACACTTTACTGGTCTGGAGGAGTAATAACTTTTGCTTGATATCCTCCATACAGGGAAAATATGTTATTTTTCCTGATGCTGTCTTTTATACTGGCAGTCATTAGTCTAAACCACTTGTTAATAAATGACAACAAAACTGTCAAATGAAATTCCATGGGGCAGATATAATTGCTTGAATTATTATCTATGCCAGGATAATGTATCAATGTAGTGAGACACTGATAAATGCATGGAAACTGTCTAGAAGTTAGACGATGTTTTTACATCTCTATTTTTTAAAAAGCTCCCTATTTGAATCCTTTCTTCCTCAGTAAACTTCTCTTTTTGCAGAACACCTACTTTTGCTGGAGGTCTCTTTTCAATATCAAAAGACTACTTCGAACACATTGGAAGCTATGATGAAGAAATGGAAATATGGGGAGGTGAAAATATAGAAATGTCTTTCAGAGTAAGTTTAGCTACTTAACTAGCAGTGGTATCTATACTGACAGTGTACAGGATTTTTGAGGACAAATTAGTACTAGATCCTGACTTCTCTGCTGAATCAGTTGACTAGGACATGGAGAATGAATTACTAATCACCTATGAAATAATTTACAAAACATGCTCACTGAACTGATTTAATTTTTTTTTAATGTGTTTAGGGTTGATAGCTGAAATGTATATTTCCAGGGTTTGCCTGATTAGGAAATTCACTTATGGTATGCCTGATATATGCACTCTTGCTAGTGTTTTGGGGTTTTTCTGGTGAACAATAACATTGCTGATTTTTTTTCCACCCCCTTAATTCTAATCGCAGTGCACTTACACAAAAAATGTTATTATTAGGTATGGCAATGTGGTGGACAGTTGGAGATCATGCCTTGCTCTGTTGTTGGCCATGTCTTTCGCAGCAAGAGTCCTCATACTTTCCCAAAAGGTACTCAGGTGATCACACGTAATCAAGTCCGCCTTGCAGAAGTCTGGATGGATGAATATAAAGAAATATTTTACCGAAGAAACACAGAGGCAGCAAAAATTGTGAAACAAGTAGGTGGTGGTGGTGGTATTAGAAATCACACTTGCTGCGTTGAAAGTTTTGGTGAGCAAAAGTTATTTATTGACAAAGTATGTAAGGGTTCTAGATATTTTAATGAAAAGACAGAGCTCAGTTTGCTTAATGCTGTAGCCCCAACAAACGTGAAAAACTTGTGTGGGTTTTTTTTGACTGGTAGGGGTTTTTTTCATACGTTCTCTTAAAATCCTGGGTTGTTTGAATTGAACAGCTACTGGAACTACCAGAAGAGTATGAGAAAAGCTGCTGAGCACAGAAAAAGCGAACTAACTTGAAATGAGAAATATAATGTCTCATTAGTCTCAAGATGCCTAGTATTTTTTTTTTAAAGCAGGTTTTGTTGTTCTTTAGCTGCAGAATAAAGCTTATTCAATGATAGATATCCATCCTATCTCTACCTGCTTAAAAACTTAAGTTAAATTCAGGGGGATTTAGGCGTTGGTTTATTTTTGTAAATTTTCTGGAACTTTGGTCTTTCACCAGCTGGAATCTAGAGTTTTCTTTGAGAAGCTATTTTTTTCTCCCTTTTGCGTGATAAATTTTTGTGAATGTTATATCACTAATAGCATTAGATTTCCTAAGCATGTTTAGCAGCTAGACAACTGAATTTTGTCTGGGAGATTCTGCATTGTACTGACTATTATGCTAATTATTTAATTAATCCAATTCATAATTTCAGCTCACTCTTTTTAGTGACATCACTTAGCTTTATAGCTGTCATCAATATGGTCTTATTTGTGCTTTCCCACTTCATGGCACTGTGTTAAAACCCTCTTTGGACTAAGGATACTTTTATTCTTTCCCTGTTGCAATGTTGGGTTTTTTTGCACATGCTTTGAAATGCTGCAGACAGCGTGTCAGTGGTGTTATGATACTGAAAACCAAACAGCAGTAACTGTAGTAGTACAGTATTAAAAAAAATAAAATTGACAAATGAAGCATTAAAACTTCTTTAATGCTATGATACAGAATATCATGGATTTATATGTACAAAATTGATATTAGTAACATTAGTGTATTTTTCTTTCTTCCATCCTTCCTTCCTTCTCTTCCTCTAACAGAAAACATTTGGAGACATCTCAAAAAGACTTGAATTAAGGCAGCGTCTGCAGTGTAAAAATTTTACCTGGTATCTCAGTCATGTTTATCCAGAAGCATATGTTCCAGACTTGAATCCTTTGTTTTCTGGATATGTAAGTTTAATTATTTTCTGTAGTCTTCCATAATCCATGAAGTTTGCTAATCTTTTGTGCTACCTTAACATAGCATTTACAGTTCAGGTATCATTAGTTGCTCTAGGGACAAAGAATGTCTTCTGCATACCATGCTATTTGAATATTTTCTAGCTTTGTCAATGGTGATACAAGATTTAAACAAAGCTTCTTAATAACTAACAGTAGCCTTGCTTAATGGGATCTTGCAATCTGCTAAGATAAGCAACATTCTGTCCATCGCTAACAGTTAAAATGACACAAAATTACTAAGCCAGTGGTGAGAAATTTCCTGATTTATCAATGTAAATTTAGCTTCACGTAGTAAGAAGTCTGAGACAATTTTTAGTTCATGTTAAGAAGGAAAACTGGACAGCTGTTTGCTTCTCAGAATTAGGTTTATGATGAGGAAAATGTGTGTTTATAGTTACACATACATTTTTTTAAAGACCATTGCATTTCATCTGCCAAATAACTTAGACATTGCATTGCTAAAACCAACAAAATATTAAACAACTAATAATTCTTAGCTTGAGGTGAATGTGAATGTTTAGCACTTCCCCTTCCTCCAATTTTGACTGGTTTACGTGTATCTGTTCAAACTGTAATTTGAATAACAGTAACCTTGTATATTGGTACCCTAATTATTCACAGTGTGTGACTGTAGACAACCATGATGTAGTTACTAGGCCTTTGATTAGAAAAGTTTAACTCTGAGAGACCAGGATTTTTAGATTTGAGTATAGCAGAAAGTAAAAATGAACTAACAGCTGTAGTTGTTATTAAGCCAAAGGTTAGTTTTTTATGCTAGTAAGATAGCTTAATTTTGTTGTCCCCCCTGAGCTTGCTTATATATATATTATTTTTTTTTCTTCTGATAACACCCTTTCTTTAGTTAAAAAATATAGGTAACCGCATGTGTCTGGATGTTGGTGAAAATAACCATGGTGGCAAACCATTGATTATGTATTCTTGTCATGGACTTGGAGGAAATCAGGTAAAATATTTGATACCTGGTTTTTTTATGATCTGTTCATCTGTAACTTTACCATATTAAAGCTTTTCATTTATTTTAGAGAAATGGACTAATTTTTAATATGCAATTTCTCTCTCTCTTTTTTAAGAGTTAATTCATATATATATTGTTCAAGGAAAATTTCATACTCCTGTTCTTGTTGTTCCTCACTTCTAACATTTTATGTTCAGCATACAGATTCAGATTTTTAACACAATTTCACTGCTTTACTTGATCTTTCCTTTCTGTACCAAACCTTTTCATCCTACCCTTTCTTATAAGTGTTGTCTTCTTAATTCTTCTTTTCCTTGTGCTTCCTCCTGTAGCTTCTTTCTCTGCCACTAGGACTCACACTGTCAAGGAAGATGTTGGTGGGAACCCGGCCAATGGGAGACCAAGTGGCCAGACCTGAGCCACCTTCCCTATCATGCTTGCGGCCTTATAGCGTGAGGTCAAAGTGGTCTATCCTGTACTGGCTAATGCAAGTGAATAATATGATTGAATTTGTGCAAGAAGAGAGCTCTCTTTGATGCATAGCTCTTGGAGGCAGCGGTGGTGCTCTGTTTCTTTTACAGTATGACTTGCAATAGATGTCAGATAATGAATCCCTCGGGCATTACTGTAATACTAATAAAGTTACATCTCCTTCCCTGCCCAGAAATGAACATTCCTCTGTTGCCTTAAAGAGTTATTTGGGGAATAAAGTTTATTAACTGTCGATCCTTAAAAACTAAAGGTCAACAAAGTTTTAAAAGCTTTTGTTAGAATACTAGCCTTTTTGCATTGTCACAGTTATTAATGTGGGAATGCTGTACCAAGACATTGTATTAAGAGATCTGCTGTATGCTTCTGTTTCATCTCTCTCTAGTTACCTTGGACTGTACTAAACCTCTATGCTTTCAAGTGTTGTGCTTTTTGTTTTTCTTCCTGTCATAAAATAACAGTCTGAATCCCTTTAAATGCAAGCCTTCAGACAATTTTAATATGGGTTATGCTGGTAATGCTCAAGAGATGTGCATATTTGCTTACTCAACCCTTCTCATTACAATACTCTATCTTCATTTGTGTTATATTCTTTACCAGACTTTAGCAGTGTAGGGTGAGATTTTCCACGCTGCCTATCTTCTTTGTCCATATATTTGAGATAGGAGAAGAGAATGGAAGAGAGAACCTAGTTTTCAGAGTTGTACATCAATTGTTTATCATTATTTAAATAGTACTTTGAATATTCTGCACACCATGAAATTCGACATAACATTCAGAAGGAGCTTTGTCTGCATGCTTCTAAAGGACCTGTGCAGCTTCGCGAATGTAACTACAAAGGCCAGAAAACCTTTGCCATTGGAGAAGAACAATGGCTGCATCAAAAGGTATTTAGACTGTGCAGTGAATTGGCATCTTATCAATGATCTTTCCTATGAGTTAACTTCTAGTTTCTAATAAAAGAGAAACCCCCAACGAAACAAAACTTTGAAGCCAAAAAGGAGTAAGTTTATTTCTAGGAGGAAAACATAGATAATTTCAGCTTTTCAGTTACCAGACCAAAACCTGATGATTTCACTATTTTAAATGTAAAGTAGAAATATCACTTACAAAAAGAGTTGATATCCTTTAGTGTGTGTGTCTGGGCATCCACCTGGAAGTCAATGCTAATGTTTTGTATCTTGTAAAATATTTTTAAAAAATTTCCTAACAAAACAAGTTGGCACTTGCATACTACTTATATTTGTTTGCTAGCCCCCTGCTCTGCACTACCTGTATGGCCTTACTCTTTTTAACAACAATGAACTTGGGAAAAAACGAAGAGTGGGGAGAAATAGCATGCTCATTGTTTGTTCATTTTTTCCCCCCCTCCCCTCCTTTTTTACCCACTTTAGGATCAAACTCTATACAATGCAGCACTACATATGTGCCTTACAGGAAACGGAGAGCATCCGAGTTTGGCATCCTGTAATCCATCAGACCCCTTCCAGAAGTGGATCTTTGGCAAGAACAATTAAGATTTGATATTTATAGGCCAGGCACATTTTATTAAAAGAAAAGATGCATTCTAAACGGTGATCATATATGTATACTGCATTTTTAAGTGATGCATACTTTAAATGCAAAATGTTTAAACAGGTTTTTTTCCCTCTTATTTAAGTTGGATATAAAATGTGTCATCAGAGATTTCCTATGAGTCTGTTATACCAAAGATGATTGAGATCCCAATTAAGAAAAATGTTTACAATATTTCTATGATAAGACTTTATATGTTGACCACTGATACATGGATCCTAGAGTCTTCTTTCACACTAGGGACTGTATATATATTGTTTTTCCACATATTGTAAGTACTTCTGAAGAAGACTAGTTTTCTCTGTAGTTATGAGAATTTATTGTATACTGTCTAAAACCCAAGATGCTTTATATGTATAATTTTTATGCTCAATTGGTTGCCTTCATTTATTTTTTTAATCGCTTACGTTATTTGGTGAACCTTTCTCAGTATTTTTTAGGTTCTCTCACTTGAAAAATTAAATATTTGATCTTCAGGTTAAGGCCAAGTAGGCTACCACACTGTGGTCAGCTTTTAACAAGTCAATTCTTCTTTTATTGAAGAAAAAGTAATTCTCACTGAAATATGTATGTGTGGTTATTTTAATGGAAAATCTGCTTATTCTGATATTAATCTCATATTATGTAGCCAAAACATTTTGTATAGGTTTTTTATATTTCATGAACTTTCAAATTTATGACAAAGTTATATTGTAATTAGATTTCCGAGCTGCTTAATATTAACATATTTTTTCAGCATTTTGTTCATTATTGCTTTTAAATTATGTTATCTACTAAACCCACTCTCTTTCCTACCTTTTAGTGATTTGTGCAATGTTTACCTAACAGGTTTCTGATGTTATCTGTACATAATTTCTTGTGCAAACACTTGCACGTTGATTTTCTTTTTTTTCTTGTTGCTGTTTCCCCTTTTACAAAGGAGTGATTTCAGTTTTATCAGTCCAAGTGAGACCTTGGCCTTCCTAACTATTCTGCTGGCTCTTTTAATGAAGTACTGTATTCTTGTAAGCATCCACAAGTATACTCTAATATATCATGTAGAGCTATGACTTCATAAATACCCTTCCTTTGATTATGTATTTAAAAATACGTATCATAGAATAGTTTGGGTTGGAAGGGACCTTTAAAGGTCATCTAGTCCAATCCCCCTGCAATGAGCAGGGACATCTTCAAACAGATCAAGGTGCTCAGAGCCCCATCCAATCTGAACTTTAGTATTTCCAGGGATAGGGCATCTACCACCCCTCTAGGCAACCTGTTCCAGTGTTTCACCACCCTCATCATAAAAAATTTTCTTCCTTATATCTAGTCTAAATCTACCCTCTTTTAGTTTAAAACCATTATCCCTTGTCCTATCACAACAGGCTCTACGAAAAAGTCTGTCCTCATCTTTCTTATAATCCCCCTTTAATTATTGAAAAGCCATAATAAGGTCTCCCTGGACCCTTCCCTTCTCCAGGCTGAACAACCCCATCTCTCTCAGCCTGTCTTCATAGGAGAGGTGCCCCAGCCCTCTGATCATCTTCATGGCCCTCCTCTGGACTCGCTCCAATAGGTCCATGTCTTTCCTGCACTGAGGACTCCAGAGCTGGACACAATACTCCAGATGGAGGTCTGAGCAGAGCAGAGGGGCAGATTCATCTCCCTTCACCTGCTGGTCGCTGCTCTTTTGATGCAGCCCAGGATACAGTTAGCTTTTTCTTTGGTTATTTTATTGGATGCACAGTTGTTAAACACCTTCCGTTAGTCTTCCATTGCAATCAACAATCATGCTCATTTTCTGACTGTGATTATTTCAGGCCTTCTTTAATGAAGGTAACTCTTCAAGAGATGAAGAAATGTCATCTTTAAGAACAGAGATGTACGTTACTTGGAAATGTCTATTTCTGGTATGAATGTGAGATTAATGATCATCTCACCCTTAAAGCATCTAAGGCCACATAAAATTGCACTTTAATAAGGTAAACTATTTCATAATAAAATTTTATATTCTAGTTTGGAGAAGACTTAATTGGTTTATGCAAATTCTGGAGGTTTAAAAATAACCTTAAATTTGCATGTGTTATGGGAAGAAAATGGCTATGAAAGTAAAATTGTAAGCTTCTAGGAAGGGAAGGAAGCAGCAGAATAAGACAAGGAAAAGACTTACTGTTGTCTAGAAGTGCCAGTGTTGTTATTAAGTAGGGATGGGAAATATCAAAGGTAAAAAGGTACTTAGACTTTGCAGCTTGTTGAAAAAATTGTGTCGAACATCTATAGTATCTATTCAAATGGCAGAAAATAGGATGTTTAATAGCAACCAGCTTAATAATGAAACTCTTTAATGATCTGAATCTTAAGAAAGGTACACATAACAGTGGAAAGTTGAGCAGTAAGATCAGGCCTAGTTAGATGCAGTTAGTAACACTTGGTATTTTAGAAAATGCTTAGTATTTCCTTTAAGTACTGTACTCGTAGGAGGAGGGAGATTAAGGAAAAAGTCACGGCTACCAAAAGGAAAGAAAATTCAAATTTTTAAAGTGAATACTAATATTTGGCTGCATGATCAAATATAAAGGTGAGAATAAATTTGAAGGGGTGGGTGCTAAAGGTAGAATAGGACAAAATACACTTATATTAAATTTGTCCTTTTGTCCTGGTAAATAAATAATATCATTACAGATAAATGCTATTTTATCTATAAGGTCTGGTGGATGGATGGATGGATGATGATGTGGATTTTTTTTATTTCTAATGGGGGGAAGGAAGCCTGTCTTTGGTTAATTTAACAGTATCTGACTAATGAGTTCAGCTTCTGAAGAAAAGCAAGAAGAAATCCTTTCAGTAGTTCTAAGTTATCTAAAAGACAACAAGAGAATAAGCAAGACTAGCAAGAATTTGTCAGAAGTGTTGACTTAAGCTAATTTCTTTTTCTGAGTTAATAATCTTGCCTTTGACTCATGTCTTAGCTTCTGTAATGCTTTTGGTGACACCTGTGAGAATATTTGATGAAGTTAAACCTGCATGACTTAAAATAACTTGCTACAGTGTGGACAGAAACTATTGAAAAGACTGTACTGGGAAGGATTATTAATGCTACTGTGAAACTGGAAAGCTGTAGCGAATGTCATTGCACCAAGATCTGCCTGCGCCCACTGATCAGTGTTTTCATAATTCAATAATGGAATACAAAGCATTCTTACTACTTTTGCAGATCAAGCCAATATTGGAAGGGCAACAAATGCTCTTGACAAACTGGAGGAGTTGAGGAAAAGTAAGATGCAGGTCAATGACAAAATTGTTCAACAAAAATGAATAGAGGATGGGAGATTACATAGCTAGAAGCTGTGCCATGTTGACCTCCAGGTATGAAATGGAAAGGAACGTGTTCTAGAAGACAAGGTATTTAGCATAACTGTTTAAAAGGACTTGAGTTCTTTTAGTTCCTAGTTCATGTTATACAGCAAATGCATTATATTATTTTTAATACCACTAGAGGGTAATTTCTTCATGCAACCTGTGTCTCTTACAAACTTGTCAGATTGGAATTTGCATATATGAAGCATCATTATCTACTCGTTACCAATTTTTCATTTTAGAGGAAAAATTAAAAACTTACATAGAATTTAAAATGCAAGGAAACAAGGGTTCTGTTGCACTTGGAAGCCGGAATCTCTTCATGAGCAGGAGTTCAATGCTGGAGGAGCTCTGCTGTCTTTTTTTCTAGTTGGTAATCTAAGACCATATAATAGCAGATGTAGCAATATATGTACTTATCACTGTGTTTTCTATGAAGATTATCTCTAGCAGGTCACCTGGTTATATTTTATGTTCAGTTCTAGCTGTGGAAGGGAAAAAATTTATTTTGTGATTTGAATTGTCTTTAGTATTTTTCTTTCATTTTTTTCAGACTGCTTTTCTGACCTAACATAGGTCAATAGTCCAAAACTCCTAACACACTTGAAGATAGGCTTTTTTAACCATTGCTACTATTGCAAACGCTGATCTTTTTTTATATGTTTACTATCTGTTCTTTAAACTATGATTGACATTTTAGTGTGTATTTTTGCAGAACTTAGTACAACAGCAATTCGGTCTTGGATTCCCTACTACCTGCCAGAAAAGAGGGAAGCAGGCCTATAAACAGAGGAAGACATTAAGTGACTTTTTTTGTTCTATTCTGTTTGAAGATCTGAAATTAACTTCTGTGTCTACATTGAGTATTGCACTTTCAAATAGGTATGTGTATATGTATATATAGATATGACTGGAGGTTTAGAAAATATTTCTTTAAAAAATTAATTACATTTTTTTAAAATTAATTTTTTAAAAGTAATAACAAAGCAGCAGTAAGAAAAATGGCAGGCAGTTCAAGTATTAGCTATTGTGCATCTTCTCCGTGCTTTTCTAGCACTTCAATTTTTCCTGAAAAGTAAACTTATTTCATAGGTCTTTTTTAGAGGGCAGAAGCAGATGTTCTCCTTGGCATAACTTACTCCTCCAGTGTGATCCTCTTTAGGAGTTATGGTACATTCTACAACTCAGTACTAACTTTTCTGCACTTTGTTTTGCTGTATGCATTTCTTCAAATACGTTTAATTACTCTGAGAAATACATGAAACTGACAGAACTTGTGGACACTACTTCTTTTTCCACATTTTGGGAATGAGTGTTATATAATCTTATGCATCTGATCAAAATTATAGCATTAGATTGAGATGTAGGGGGCTTGATTTCAGTGGCTGTGTTGTCAGAACTATAGCCAGTCCTTTGAACTTCCTGTGCACAGGTCTCCTTTAGGGTTCTACTTTCTATGAAACCTGTTCCAAGGAAGGGACATGTAATCTTTTCTATATTTTAATGTACCTCCTGAATTCTTCAAGTAGGAATGTCATTGCTAAAACATACTGTCCAAAACTGCATGTGTGTCAATAGCACAATAATATTTCAAGTAGTAGTTTAATTTTATGATGTTTAAAATAAAAAATAAAATCCTGGATTTTTATTAAAAAGCTTTGCTGCATTATAAACAGTAACCCTTCAATTTAGGTTACCCTCTTAAAAGTTTTTGAAAAGTGTATTTTTAAAGTTAGCTCAACAGTATCTGTTTCTGCCTTTTATAATGTAAATGTAGCTTGACTTTATATTTTATAAGGGATAGCAATAATAACTTTAACATGTCTTGTTCAGTTTCTCCCCAGTCTAAGTGAGGAAATTAATACAAGATTACAATTTTTTTAAAGGAAGAAAATACCTTTCAAAAGTAAAGCATTA